CTTGTGTCGGGAGCAGCGCCTGGAGCACAGAACAAAGCACATTGCTCTCCGCTACTTTCTTGCTCGTGAGCTGCAGCAGCGTGGTCAGTTGCGACTTGCGTACGTGGCCTCTGAGGCCAACACTGCTGATGTTTTCACCAAGGCACTTCCGCTTTGTGATCATCAGCGCTTCTGCACTCAGCTGGGTCTTGTGCCTGTCTTGCCTCACTTGCTCACCTCTTGATCTTGCTTGTACTCTTACATATATATATACCTGCTCTTGCTTGTTTAGTCTTATATATATATGTGCACTCCTGCATGTGAACTGGCCTTGTGGCCTTGACCTTGTGCTCGGACTGTGTGGTGACGTTGTGATCCACCCTGAGCTTTGCTTTGCTTTGCTTGACTGGTCTTGTGACCCCTTGTTCTCCCCCACTTTGCCTATGGGGGTGTGTCAAATTATAATATTGTGTAGGCTATAGTGGGGTAGTCTATATGGGGTACACATTTCTAGGGTTGCATATTTGTATCACTCCCATTCCTTAGTCAATTCATTCTCGTTCTACTTTTCTCAAGTAGGAGGCGCGGTACCTGACAGCGCAGACTCACCCGCACCTAAGGCAGCAGATGTGGTACCTGAAAGCGCAGACTCGCAATCACCAAGAGCTGCTGGCTCTATACCTGGATCAGGCGGCAGACACAGGTAGCTGTCACCCTCAGCACTAACAGACAATGCATACATGGCAGCAAGAATAGCATCATAGTCAAGAGCAAAGATGTCTACACCCTTCTTAAGCAGATCAAACCAGCGAGGGGTCTCAACCTCTGCACCCATCTCCTCACGCCAGGCGTCGTCAAGGCGAGAGAAGCAATGTTGCTGGGGGTGGGGCTTGCCGCATGTCTGACCAGCACGCTCACCGGTGCGAATGACATACGGACAGCGAGTTCCCCCAGACGTACCCCTATGAGCCAACCACTCACGAAGCTGCTGAGGCGTAAGGGACCGCTGCTGCTGCTGTCGCTGACCAGTGCCTCCACCACGACCGCCACCACCTCCACTGCCTCCACCACTGCCGCTACCGCCACCACCGCCACTCCCACCGCCGCCGCCACCACCACCACCTCCACCACCGCTGCTGCCACTCCCACTAGTACTCCCAGCGCCACTGCCTCCACTCCCACCGCCACCCCCACCTCCTCCACCTCCTCCTTCGCCGCCACCTCCACCACCGCCCTTGCCCCCCTTGCCCTTGCCGGTGCGGCGCCGCCCGGTAGAGGTAGAGGCAGCACCAACCGAGTCGGCTCCAAGGAAGTCTACAGCGGCAGCAGTGGCGTAGGACGGGGCAAGAGGGGAAGAAGCGCACCCCTCAAAGATGGGGGTGCGAGGAGCGCCACGAGCAGCAGCCACACTCACAATGCTGCTCTCAGCGGCTAAGAGATGCTCCTCTAGGAGGTCTATGGTGAGGTTGGAGGGACAGCGCGCTAGGAAGTGGTCCCTGACTGAGCGAAGGGTGTCAGGGAGGCGGGTCACTATAAAGTGGAGCGTCCAGTACATCGGAGGGGGGTGCTGAGCAACAAACTCCTTGCGGAGTGTGGCACGGACACGAGCGTCACTAGAGCGAAGGTGGGTGATGAGGTCGGCTACAGTGGCAAAGCTCGACAGCTCGGGGAACAGGTACGGCAGCATGAGACGGCTGAGCGCAGCAGTGGTAGGGGAGGAGTAGCGAGCGACTACAGCGTCGTACAGGGCCTTAGCGGTTTTGTGCTCGCCAAAGTGCTTGAGTTCCGCTAGCGCCAAGTGGTTGCGAATAGCTAGGCGGGCAGCAGCATCGCGCGTCAGCCACTGAGAGCGCTCGCTAAGGGCAGCTGTGTCAGTAGGAGCGGCTAGGGCACCAGAGGTGTGGTCAAAGAGGGAGATCTCATCTTTGCTGGTGCTAATGAGGTAGAGCTGCAAGTCATCGAGCCAGGCGTCAAACTCTACAGGGCGGCCCTCAGTCTTGAAGGAAAGAACCCGAAGGGTGGCCATAGTGCGAGGCGGTGACGAGCAGCAGGGCGTGCGGGCAGCGCTGCAGAGCGCGGGCGGTGCTGCAGGGCGTGGGCGGCGCAGCAGGGTGTGGGCGGCGCGGCGCGCAGGCGGGGCAGGGCGCCCAGCGGAGCGGCGCGCAGGTAGAACAGGGCACGCGGCGGCGTGGCGCGCAGACAGGGCAGGGCGCGCGGCAGTGCAGCGCGCAGGGAAGGCAGGGCGCGCGACGGCGCGGCGCGCAGGCAGGGCAGGGCGCGCGGCGGCGCGGCTCGCAGGCAGGGCAGGGCGCGCGGCGGCGCGGCGCGCAGGCAGGGCAGGGCGCGCGGCGGCACGGCGCGCAGGCAGGGCAGGGCGCGCGGCGGCGCGGCGCGCAGGCAGGGCAGTGCGCACGGCAGCGCGGCGCGCAGGCAAGGCAGGGCGCGCGGCGGCGCGGCGCGCAGGCAGGGCAGGGCGCGCGGCGGTGCGGCTCGCAGGCAGGGCAGGGCGCGCGGCGGCGCGGCGCGCAGGCAGGGCAGGGCAGAGCGCGCTGGTGCAGGTGGCGCGCGACTCAGCAGGGCGCGCTGCAGCAGGTGGCGCGATCACAGTGGCGCGACGGGTGGGGTAGCGCTACTCGGTGGGCCCTAAGAAATTGGTCCTAGGCTAGGACCTGCTCTAATACCATATCAGAAGAGTGAACAGGAATGAATGAACTATGAAAGAGTTGGGTACAAATATGAAACCCTAGAAGGGGTTGTACCCCATATTGGCTACCCCACTACAGCCTAAACATATATGGCATATATACAATTTGACACCCTCCACCATCCAAACCTACGTACCTTACTGGCTCAAGTTCCGAGCCTTCTGCAAGAAGGTTTCGCTGAGCTACCTGCCTACCACGGACTTGACACTCGCACTGTACCTCGTGCACGCCCTCAAGCACAAAGCTACGCTATTTGCTATCACACTAACATGCTCCGTGGTATCCTTCGCACACAAAATGTTTGGGACGGCGTGTCCCACCGACGGCCCCTTCACATCGCAAGTACGCGAGTTCGCCAAGCGCCACGCACCGTGCCCCAACCGGACCAAAGAACCAGTCTCGCTTCACCAGGTCCATAGCATGGCTCAAGAGTTTCTCACATCCCACATCCCATCCGAATTTCAAAAAGGTCTCATCCCGCTCTTGATGTACACCGGGTTCCTACGCTACTCCGACCTGGTCGCGATTCAGTGGCAGGACATTCAATTCGAGGATACGGCAATGTGGGTTCTAATCCCACACTCCAAAACTGACCAGGAGAGCAAAGGAGTGTGGGTCCCAGTCGCGGCAACAGATGGGCCATACTGCCCAGTCCAAACCACCCAGAAATTCATCAAGATTGCCGGCTATGACTCATCATCCGAAGGCCCTCTCATCCGAGTTTTCCCACGGGGCGCAAAGGCAACACCAGAAGACAAATCTCCCTCATACCCCACTCTTCGGAACTGGTGTTTGGAAGCCTTTCGCAAGATCGGGCTCGACGCAAAGCACTTGGGCACCCACTCATTTCGCAAAGGTGCAGCAACGACAGCTGTCGGAGTCGGGATCACTGTTCGAATGTTCAAACGTCTAGGCTGCTGGCGCAGCGACAGTGCGAAGGAGCTCTACGTCACCGCCGCTCAAGACCAGCTTGTAGCAGCATCCCGGCTGATCCAGGACCCCACACGAGCCCCATCCTCCAACCAGCATCAGCTGTCTATCCAGCGACAGCGCCGTCCTCCTCTGCACATGTCTCAGCAGACCCAGATGAAATGAAGCACGATGCCTATTACAAGTTGCAATAAGCAAGCTTTCACAATATGGTAAATTTTGAAAGTGTATTCACTTTCTAAAATTTTGTATTGTGATAGTGAAGCGATTGCCAACGCAGCAAAGGCAGCGTCGTATCACTACTCGCCCTCTTTTGGCTACAAAAGAGGGGTTGGAGGCCATTTGGCCTCACCCACGTTCTTCTTTTCCGTTTTTTAGTTTGAGTTCCCCACCCTACCACCCTATGTAGTGAAATTGTATGTTGTAGACCTTTGGACGAGATTGATGTACTCTTACCCAGATGAAATGAAGCACGATGCCAGATGCATGAAATGAAGCACGATGCCTATTACAAGTTGCAATAAGCAAGCTTTCACAATACAGCATAAAACGTAGTATGTCACAAACGGAATTGCCTTCTAGCGACCATTACTGTATTTTTCATTGGTCAGCGTGAAACGCGCTGATGTCGCGGACGAGTTGCAAATTGACTCGTCACTGGTAAAAAGTCGCACGCGGTTCGAAATGTCAATGCACCTGAACACCCCCAAAAGCCAATTTCGCGGGGGAAACAGATCCCGCGCGTCGAAACTACACCCCAGCCAGGCATTTGAAGAAAAGGGTGTATAGTCATTTCCGAAATGTAATCAAAAGCGCACAACTGTACATTTCGCTTGGTCGTCTAGTGTCGCGATACATTCATTTTTTGTGACGCTAGGTTGATAAAATGTTTTGACGCGACTCGGGAAAAGGGAGATTGAGACATTTGTGTCCACACAGGAATGCACCATGACTCAAACAAAGTGTCAGAGTTCGAGTCTGGACCCAGAGCAACCGCCCCTGGACCCAGAGCAGCCGCCCCTGGCCCCTGGTGCGGCCGCCTCTGGACCTCAGCAGCCGCCCCTGGCCCCTGGAGCAGCCGCCCCTGGTGCAGCCGCCCGTGGACCTCAGCAGCCGCCCCTGGACCCCGCGGCTCCGACCCTGCAGCAGCCCGCAACGCCGCCCCAGGGACCCCGCGAGCCGCCCCAGCAGCAGTCCACGGCGCCGACCCTGCAGCTGCATGCGCCACCGCTCCTGGACTCAGTACGGCTGCCTCCCTGTGCTGCCTGTTGCTGCCCGTGCCTGTGCTGCCCGTTGCCGCCTGTTGCTGCCCGTGCTTGTGCTGCCCGTTGCCGCCCGTTGCTGCCCGTGCCTGTGCTGCCCGTTGCCGCCCGTTGCTGCCCGTGCATGTGCTGCCCGTTGCCGCCCGTTGCTGCCCGTGCCTGTGCTGCCTGTTGCCGCCCGTTGCTGCCCGTGCCTGTGCTGCCCGTTGCCGCCCGTTGCTGCCCGTGCCTGTGCTGCCCGTTGCCGCCCGTTGCTACCCGTGCCTGTGCTGCCTGTTGCCGCCTGTTGCTGCCCGTGCTTGTGCTGCCCGTTGCCGCCCGTTGCTGCCCGTGCCTGTGCTGCCCGTTGCCGCCCGTTGCTGCCCATGCCTGTGCTGCCCGTTGCCGCCCGTTGCTGCCCGTGCCTGTGCTGCCTGTTGCCGCCTGTTGCTACCCGTGCCTGTGCTGCCCGTTGCCGCCCGTTGCTGCCCGTGCCTGTGCTGCCCGTTGCTGCCCGTTCCTGTGCTGCCTGTTGCTGCCTGTTGCTGCCCGTGCCTGTGCTGCCCGTTGCCGCCCGTTGCTGCCCGTGCCTGTGCTGCCCGTTGCCGCCCGTTGCTGCCCGTGCCTGTGCTGCCCGTTGCCGCCTGTTGCTGCCCGTGCCTGTGCTGCTCGTTGCCGCCCGTTACTGCCCGTGCCTGTGCTGCCCGTCGCCGCCCGTTGCTGCCCGTGCCTGTGCTGCCTGTTGCCGCCCGGTGCTGCCCGAGCCTGTGCTGCCCGTTGCCGCCTGTTCCTGCCCCTGCTCTCCCCCCCCCCCCCCCCCTCCCTTCTTCGTCTCCCTACTGCGCGTGCAGCTGTGGAACGGAGGCTATGGGGGTGGCGGGTATGGGGGTGATGGGTGTGTGTGATCCCCTTCCCCTCCTCCTCCTTTCTCTCCCACTGCTGCAACTGCCGCTGGGGGGGGGGCGGGTGTGAGGGTGTGGGGGAGCTGGGGGAGAGGTGCTAGGGTTGTCGAGGAGTGTGGAAGGGGGATTTGGAGGACTGGGGAAGGTTCTAGGAAGCAGCCGCCTCGGAGCCAGCAGCTTCACCTCCAGCAGCTTCTCCTCATATAGTCCCTCCTTCTCGACTCCCTCTCTAGTTCTGCCTCTTGCCTCTGTTTGCTGTTATTTGGCTTTACTCTGCTTGGTGTACCCATTCATGAGGTGTTGCTGCACACACTCCTGCTACAGGCAGTTATGGGGGAGTGTTAGAATATATCTGTAATTGCCTGTAGCTGTAGTTAGTGTAGTTATTGCTTCATTGTTGGTGGTGCACCTCTTGTTCTTGTTCTCTCTTATATGTTCCTTGTTTGCTATAGTGAATCCCTCTCTTTTGCCTCACTAAATTCTCTCGACCCTATGGCCTAGGCTACTAAGCCTAGGCCCTATTACTCCTTCTCTTCAACATATTCAAGGTTACAATTCCTACCCTAGTGATTATCTTTATTTTTACTACACATTCTACTAAATCCAAGTTAAACTACAATTCAAATATTTAAAAATTCTACTCTCCTACACATCCTAGGCATCGCCCTCAACAGTGGCGGTGTCATCCTGGGCGGTCTCACCGTCGGACTCTGGCTCGTCTATGTTGTTGTAGCAGAATCCATCTGCTGCAATCTCGTCGTCAAGCTCCACTTTGTCAAACATATATGCTATAGTCTGTGTAGGCTGTAGTGGGGTAGACAATATAGGGTACAACACTTCTAGGTTTTCCTACTTGTACCCACCTCTTTCCTAGTTGATTCATTCCTCATTCTTCACATGGTATAGAGCAGGCTCCCTCGTGGGAACGCTTCTCAGGGCCCACCACTGAACTCGACCTTTTTCCTGCCCGAGGCGCGCCCCGTAGGCCGCCCTCACGTCGCGCCCTCCTAGAGGCCCCTCGCGCCACCCTTGGCGGCCCTGTCGCCACCCCTTACGGCCCCGTCGCCGTCCTTTGCGGCCCCGACGCCGCCCCTCTAGGCCCCTCACGGCCCCTTCGCGGCCCCGTCGCCGCCCCTCTGGGCCCCGTCGCCGCCCCTCTAGGCCCCTCGCGGCCCCTTCGCGGCCCCGTCGCCGCCCCTCTAGGCCCCGTCGCCGCCCCTCTAGGCCCCTCGCGGCCCCTTCACGGCCCCGTCGCCGCCCCTAGCGGCCCCGTCGCCGCCCCTATCGGCCCCGTCGCCGCCCCTCGCGGCCACGTGGCCGCCCTTCGCGGCCCCGTCGCTGCCCCTAGCGGCCCCGTCGCCGCTCTTCGCGGCCCCGTCGCCGCCTCTAGCGGCCCCGTCGCCGCCCTTCGCGGCCCCGTCGCCGCCTCTACTGGCCCCGTCGCCGCCCTTCACGACCCCTTCACCGCTGAGCCGCCAAGCAGCCGAGCCGGCGAGCCGCCCAACAGCCGAGCCGCCGAGCCGCCCAGCAGCCGAGCCGCCGAGCCGCCCAGCAGCCGAGCCGCCGAGCCGCCCAACAGCTGAGCCGCCGAGCCGCCCAGCAGCCGAGCCGCCGAGCCGCCGAGCCGCCCAGCAGCCGAGCCGCCCAGCAGCCGAGCCGCCCTGCAGTCGAGCTGCTACTGTCACTGCCAAGTCGCTGCCACCGCGGCTACAGCCCTGTTCCTACCGGTGGGCCCCGGCCCTACTCACTCGGACTGGTGAGATCACTCCCTGCTAGACCACTGCTGTCATGGCTACCCCCAGTGTCCTTACCTTTGATGCTGAGGGTCGTGCTGTTGACTTTGAGGTCTGGGTCGATGACCTCCAGCTTTTCCTACAGTGCGATAGAATGGACGAACTCTCCCTGTTCGATCTCACCTCTGGTGCCTCTCCTGCCCCGCCTACTGATGCTGACAGCACTGTTCGCTCACAGTGGGCCACACGCGATGCTGCTGCCCGTCTTGCTTTGCGTCGCCACTTACCGACCACTGAGCGTGCGCACTTTAGTCATTACAAGAGTGCTAAGACCTTGTACGACGCTGTAGTTGCACGCTACTCTTCCCCTGCCACTGCTGCTCTTAGCCGCCTTATGCGCCGTACCTGTTCCCTGACCTTGCTGCCTTTCCCACAGTCGCTGCCCTCACTACGCACCTTCGCACTAGTGACACTCGCTACCGCGCTGCACTTCTTGCTGAGTTCTGTGCCAAGAACCCTCCCCCCATGTACATCACCCTCTACTACATAGTCACCCGGCTCCCTGACTCCCTTCGCTTAGTCAGGGACCACGTCCTCTCAGTTTGCCCCACCACACTCACCGTTGTCCTCCTCGAGGAGCGCCTCCTAGCAGCACAGAAGAGCATAGTCGCTGTAGGAGCCTCTCGTGGTGACCCTCGCACCCCCGTCTTTGAGGGGTGTTTCCCCTCCCCCCTCTTGCCCTCTGTTGCTTCTTCTGCTGCGGCCGACCTCGTTGGCTTCGAGTCGGTCGGCTCTGCGTCTGCCCCTAGCGGGAGGTGCCGCACCGGCAAGGGCAAAGGGGGCAAGGGCGCAGGAGGGGCTGGCGGGGGCGGTGGAGGTGGTGGTGGAGGCAGTGGAGGGGGTGGGGGTGGTGGTGGGATTGGTGGCGGGGGTGGAGGTGTCGGTGGTAGTAGTGGAGGCGGAGGAGGCGGCGGCGGTGGCAGAGGGAGCGGAGGCGGCGGTGGTGGCGGAGGCGGCGGAGGTGGCGGAGGCGGCGGCGGCAGCGGTGGAGCTGGTCGTGGCTCTGCGCAGAGGAGTGGTTCCGGTGGTGGTCCGCGCCAGCAGCAGCAGCGCAGTCGTGAGACTCCGTCCCCCCAGCAGCTTCGTGAGTGGTACGCTGGGCGTCAGCGAGGTGGGGGTACTGGTCCTTGCACCTACGTCCTCCGTACCGGCGACCGCGCTTGTGAGCAGTGCGGGGGCCCGCACTCCACCCAGCGCTGCTTCGGCCGCCTGACGGACGCGTGGCGTCACCAGTTCCCTGACGCCACTGAGATCCCTCGCTGGGGAGAGCTGTCTAGGGCGGGGGTTGCTATCTTTGATCTTGATTATGATGCTATTCTTGCTGCCATGTATGCTGTGTCTACTAGTGATGAGGGTGACTGTTACCTGTGTGTTCCGCCTGGACCGGGCAGTGAGGCTGCTGCTCTAGGTGCTAGTGCGTCTGCTGCCCCAAGTGCTGATGAGTCTGCTCTCTCAGGTACAACGTCGGCTCAGGCCTTACACACCTTCACCCTTGACTCGGGTGCTTCCCGCTCCTTCTTTCGAGACCGCACCACGCTTACGCCGCTTAGTCGGCCGGTTGCGGTCTCCAAGGCGGACCCCTCTGGGGGTCCTGTCCTTGCTCGCTTCTCCACTATCTTTGTCCCACCAGACTCTCCTTTGGCACCACCGCCTTGGTCACCCCTCCCTGCCTCGTCCCCGAGGCATGGCCTCCCGTGTCCTTGTCTCTGGTCTCCCCCGGTCCCTCCCTCCCCTCCCTCCGGGGCCTACCCCTACCTGCGTTCCCTGCGTCGAGGGGCGGCAGCGTGCCGCCCCTCACTCCTCTGAGTTTCCTCCGACAGAGGCTCCGCTGCACACTCTTCACATGGACGTGTGGGGCCCCGCCCGCGTCCGTGGCCAGGGTCACGAGCGTTACTTCCTGTTGGTGGTTGATGACTACTCGCGTTTCACCACGGTATTCCCCTTGCGCAGTAAGGGTGACGTCACTGGGGTGTTGATCGACTGGATCCGCGCAGCTCGTCTCCAGCTCAGAGAGAGTTTCGGCTCGGACTTTCCTGTTCTACGTCTGCACTCTGACAGAGGCGGGGAGTTTTCCTCTACCAGTCTGGGAGCCTTCTGTCGTGCACAGGGCATCCGCTAGACCTTTACGCTTCCGGCCTCTCCACAGCAAAATGGGATTGCTGAGCGCCGCATTGGCATGGTCATGGACGTCGCTCGTACGTCCATGATCCATGCGACTGCCCCCCATTTTCTGTGGCCGTTTGCGGTTCATTACGCAGCGCATCAGCTTAACCTTCAGCCCCGGGTCTCCTTGCCAGAGACCTCCCCCACCCTGCGGTGGACGAGGAAGGTTGGCGATGCGTCAGCGTTTCGGGTCACCTTTGACGAGTCGGTGCCTTACTACCGTCTCTTCCCCTACCGCACTGCGCCCCTCCCCCCGCCGCCGCTCTTCCTTGCACCAGGTCCTCCCCCGATAGACCCCCTCCCCCCTCAGGGTCCTGCCCCGTCAGGTGTGTCCCAGGTAGAAGCAGTCGAGCCTGTCGAGGTAGCTGTTGACAGAGGTGCTGAGCCTGCGGGTGCCGGGTCTGGAGGTGCTGAGCCTGGGGGTGCGGAGCCTGGGGGTGCTCAGTCTAGGGGTGCAGAGCCTGGGGGTGATGAGCCTGGGGGTGCTGAGTCTGGGGGTGCTGAGCCTGGGGGTGCTGAGTCTGGGGGTGCTGAGCCTGGGGATGCTGAGCCTGAGGGTACGGAGCCTGGGGGTGCTGGGTCTGCTCGTGTGGCCTCTCGCGGTGCTTCGTCGAGGCGGGAGCTACTCTCTCCGCAGGAGCTGCGTGAGTGGTTTGCCCGGCGCTGGAAGCGTGCTGCTGGAGCTGGAGGTGCTACTCTTGCTGCTGGTCCTGGAGGTGCTCGTACTGACGGTACTGGAGCTGCTGGGACTGGACGTACTGCAAGATCTGCTGGCGGTACTTGAGCTGATGGTCATGCTGGAGCTGGAGCTGCTGGGGCTGCTGGAGCTGGGGCTGCTGCAGGTGTTGGCGCTGGTGGTGCTGCTGGCGCTGGTGCTCCTGAGGGTGCTGGAGTTGACGCTGTTGGAGCTGGAGGTGTTGCTGGTGCTGGTGCTGCCGCTAAGGGTACTGGTGCTGTCCTTGTTGGTTCTGGAGGCGCTGCGCGGCCGCGGCCGTACTTCGTTCCGCTCCTTGAGCAGGTTCTTGGTCTCCCGCCCTCTACTGGTCCTGCTCCTCCCTTAGAGTGTCCACAGCCTGTCCAGTCGCGGTCACAGTTACAGACCGCCTCCCCCCTGCCTGCTCCTTCTCCCTACACTGGTCCTACTGGAGGTCTTGCCAAGCGTCGTGAGCCTGCGTCTCGTCCTGCGTCGCCTGTTCGTGCTGCTCGCACTAGTAGTCGTGCTCCGCGTCCGCGTCCTCCTGCGGTTCCAGGCACACACTCGATGGCACTGCGTCCTTCCACTACTCCTCTGCGTGTCCCGTTGCCGTCTCCTCCAGAGTCCTCTCTTCCTGTTCTTGCTAACCCGGAGTCTGACTCTCTTCGTGCTGCCAGTCCTACTGTCACGCGTCTCCTGGCTACTGTTGTCACTGACCCTTCCTTTGAGTCCACTGCTGCGTCGGCCCTAGTTGCTGAGCTTGTCGACTTTGCTGCTCACTGTCGTCTAGATTACGCTGCTAGTCTTGTTGCTGAGTCTGAGTCTGTCTGTCCTCCGTCCGTCGGGGGTGAGTGTGCTCTTAGCACGGACGTCCTTGAGGACAGGCAGGAGGAGTTCCAGTGTTTTGCTGCTGCTTTGCCTCATCTCGTGTCCACGCTGATTGCCCCTGAGGGAGACCCGGATGCACCAGACATCCCGACTCCTCGATCGTACGCTGAGGCGATCGAGGGTCCCTACTCCTCTCAGTGGCAGGCACCCATGAACGCAGAGATGGCTTCCTGAAAGTCCACAGGCACCTACGTCGACGAGGTTCCCCCACCTGGGGCGAACATCGTCAGTGGCATGTGGATTTTCAAGGTGAAGCGGCCGCCGCGTTCTCCGCCTGTCTTCAAGGCGCGTTACGTGGCTCGAGGCTTTAGTCAGCGGCAGGGAGTTGACTACTTTCAGACCTTCTCTCCCACCCCGAAGATGACCACTCTTCGGGTGCTAGTGCACATAGCCGCTCAGCGCGACTACGAGCTTCACTCTCTTGACTTCAGCACAACTTTCCTGCAGGGCAGCATTCACGAGGAGATTTGGCTGCGCTGCCCACCTGGCTTCACTGGGTCGTTTCCTCCTGGTACCCACTGGAGCCTCCGGCGGCCAGTCTGCGGTCTCCGCCAGGCGCCCCGTGAGTGGCACGACACACTGAGGACTACACTTGCGGCTCTTGGGTTTGCTCCTTCTACAGCCAACCCGTCGCTGTTTCTTCGCACCGACACCTCTTTGCCGCCGTTCTACATCCTCGTGTACCTCGACGACTTGGTCTTTGCCACTGCTGACACTGCTGGACTCGCCCACGTGAAGTCCGAGCTGCAGAAGAGACACACGTGCACAGACTTGGGTGAACTGCGCAGCTACCTTGGCTTGCAGATCACCCGGGATAGAGCACAGCGCACCATTACCCTGACTCAGTCACACATGGTGCAGCAGGTCCTTCAGCGCTTCGACTTCTCGTACTCCTCGCCTCAGGCCACTCCCTTGTCTACTCGCCACTCGCTCTCAGCTCTGCCTTCGGATGAGTCCGTAGAGCCGAGTGGCCCGTACCCAGAGCTTGTTGGCTGCCTCATGTACCTGATGACCTGCACACGACCTGTGCCAGTCGCCCGTGGGTCCGTTGCTCGTCTGCCGCTACTATTAGCCGCGGGGCCAGTTACTCCAGTAGTCCGGAGCGCTGTTCCGGTTGCCACTGAGCCAGCAGCTCGTCTATTTGTCTGCGGCGTCAGCAGTTGCCTCCCATCTTCTCTCCCCCATAGCTCCTCCTCCTCCTCACTTGTCTGCTGTGATTAGCTCTAGCTTTGCTCATAATTGTGAACTTTTAAACTGTTGATTCTTGTACTTGTGCTCAGAATGTGTGGTGACATTGTGATCCACCCTGAGCTTGTACTGCTTTGCTTGCTCTGCTGATTGCACCCCACTTTGGCTATGGGGGTGTGTCAGAATATTATGCTCTAGCCTGTAGTGGGGTGCTCCATAGCGAGTACAACCCTTCTAGGGTTTGCTATTTGTATCCCCATTCTTGCTAGTTCAACCTCTCTTCTTCCTTCTAAACTTTCACGAGGCCATTGGCTGTTCGACCCCGCAACACGACGCAGCAAGGATTTGGCTCGCACCGACACTGTTACGTGGACCGGCTCTCGAATGGATTTACTACACCGACGTAGCCCGCGGGGAGAAAACGTGGCAGCAGTTTCGGGCAGATTTAATCGAGCGTTTCGAACCAATTAATACAACCTACATGGCGCGGCAGCAGATACACCGACACAAGCAATACAGTAGTGTAACACAGTATACGCAGCAGATGGAGTTACTGTTCAACCGCATCACCGACTTGACCGAAGGCGAAAAAATCCAGGCGTACACCGAAGGGTTAAAAATGGAGATTCGGCGGCAGGTGATTGCGGCGAATTACAACAGCTACAGAGACATCGTGCGTGCTGCCGAGCGATACGACGCGCTGACTCGAGGTCAACCCGAAACACGACGCTTCACGCCGAACCGTACATTTGGCACGGAGCGATCGACACCCCCCACGTTCGCCGAACCGATGGATATCGACAAATACGACGCGAAGCAGCAGCCGACAAAATGCGAATTTTGCGGCGCAGCAGGAGATCAGTTTTTGTCGTGCTACAAAATGAAGAAAGCACGTGCGACACTATGGGACGGAAACAGTGGAGCACCCCCGAAGTAAAAAAACAGGAATCGCCAGTAGCCGCGGATCGACCTGGCGATCTCGTAAAGATCCGAAAAGCAGGAAAAGGCGACGACGTGGCGACTTCGGAGCGGGTGAAAAAAGGAGAAAATGATGGCGCGAATTTAAAACGTCACGACCGGCCGGCATCAGGGGAAATCGCCGAGGCGAATGGAGGCTCCGCGAAAAAAGACTTTGCACCGACCGGGAAACTCCAGCCGAACACCCACGAAAGTAAGAATTCGTTAAAAGTATCCTATAAAGATGCTCTAACAAATAATATTGCTTCTCGTGGTTTACAAGCCTTCAAAAAATTCAGGGGAGGTCTAGAGGCCAAGAAAAAGCCTTTAGAAATTATTCAGGTACCTGAGAAGTTGGGCAAAGTACTACGGAGCGTAGAAAAGGGTCGTGCGTTCCGTGGAGTTAATATTCTCTACCCGCAGCACAGTGTTAAGGCTCCCCGTTGCCCACATGTGAAGCCTACATAGCTGCCAAGGCTTAGAGGAGACATCAAGGCTCAGGAGAAATTATACAAGCCTCGGAAAAATCCTCCTACCCCCCAGGTGAAGTTGGAAAGCGCTGAGTCAGGTATAGGAAAAAGGGAAGGTATTAAGTTTGATGTACCCTATGATCCTATTAACGAGACCCTCTTTGGCTACTCAGCGCAGCAGAAACCACTACTCCTCGAGGTGTTATGCAATGGGCGACGCCTCCAGGCACTGGTGGACAGCGGTGCATCTCACTCGGTGTGTGACTGCGGAGCATTGGAGAAAATTGGAGAGAAGGCGGAAGAGACCCAGTTTTCAGCAACCATGGTGGACGGTACGAAGCTTCCTATCCACGGCGAAGCATCAGTGCAGCTGCATATAGGTGCGTTGAGGTGGAAGCCGAAGCTACCAGTCACCAACATCAAAGGATTAGATTTTATCTTGGGGC